AGCTGCCTGTCTGCCGCCACAGAGGCCCAACACAACTGCTGGGAATGCTGGGGGACATTTCCCTGCTGCCAGTGATTGACAGGACTGGTTCTAGCCCCAAGCTGCAACCTGGCTAAAATACCTGTTGTAACAGAGCCATGGATCTTAGGATGATGAAGGATCGTTATTACTCACTTACACTGCTGTAGTCCCTAGAGGGCACATCCAGATCAAGCTACTGTACTAGGCAAATGAACAGACAAACAAGGTGGGATTTTTCAAAGGTATTGAGGTGCCCAAAGATGGAGATAGGCACCTAACCTGCTTAAGTGCTTTTGAAAATCCCACTGGACACCTCTCTGCATCTTTACACTTCTAAATACCTTTGAAAATCTGGCCCTAAGTGGGTTAAAAGCATCTGTACCTATGACTTGTAATGGGACTTGCACCCTTAGGCATTTTGAAAATCTCACCTATAGCACGCAGTAGGAGAGATCTTAAAAAAGACCAAAGAACAAATGTAAACTTGTTCTTATATGATTCACATTACCCCAGAGAAGCTCCCGTGGCTTATGCCTACGACAAGCTTTTAGCGACATGGCTGTGTGGCTACAGCCGTGCCGCTAAAAGTCACGCAGTGTAGCTGCTATTTGTCGGCTCTCCTGGCGACAAAAATCTTCCACCCTCAACAAGCGGTGTTTGTGCTGTTCACACTGGTGCTTGTCACTGGCAAAACTTTTGTCGGGGAGGGGGGGAGAGAGGGGTTAACACCTCTGAAAGACAAAAGTTTTGTCATTCAATTGCCAGCGTAGACATAGCCTTAGACTCAGGCTTCAAAGCAGATGCAGGCAATTTGTTTTAAAAGGATGGATTGCAAAAGAGCTCTTTAAGCAAAACAGAAGTTGGTTATTTTCTTTGAAATCATTCGCAAATACCCCCCCCCTTCTTTTTAACATATCCTAGCAACCTCCTTTACCCCTGAGTTGTTCTAATGTTAATGCTTACCAGCTAGCTTCTGATTCAAATATCTGTAGGGCACAACAATTGGAATAAGGGATGGGTAATTGGTGGGTATTAAGTGGGGTTTCAACTGATCCAAATCCAGGAACAATTTCCCTGCAATGCATATTTGAGCCAGGCTCTAAGACAACAGGAGTCATTGTAGATCCCAGGGCAAAATGTGAATCCAATTTGACTTTCAGAGACAAACACACTGGCAGAACTCATTTCACTTGGGAGCGGGGTTCCTTGCAAGGCAATCCATTAAGGAGGCATCTAGCTAAAAAGGCACTTAAATTAGGGGAGGGAGCTCCAGCCCCAAAGCAAACTTTTCTCACGGTCCTGGTCTTCACACGCAATATGTAAGAGTTAAGATTCTTACTGAGACTAGACTCTGCAGCTATGGATCTCATCTGGTAACATCAAACGTGAAGGTCTGATGAAGCATTCACAGTGACATTAACAACAACACCACCACCTAGCTCTTAAATAGCAGTTTTCATCTGTCAATCTCAAAGATGTTAGACTGCACAACCCTGAGAGGAGGGACAGTGATTTTGTTCTAGGTTTGTACAGGACCTAGTCCAATGGGGTCCCAGTGCACGAACAGGAATCCTAGGCACTGTGGTAATACAAATAGTAAATAACAATGTTTTTACACAAAAGGGGTAGGTATCAATTCATGTGCGGGAAGTGGCTTGCCCAGGAACAGAACCCAGCTCTCCTGAGTCCCAAGCTAACCACCCAACCCCACTGCCTTCCTCTAAAAGGTAACGCCTGCATCTGTTACTCCCACTATTGAAAAATGCACCCGTTTTCCCAATACTTTCCTTATAGTTTCGCACACTCCCATAATACAGGGATTTTGGAAATTAACAGCTGGCAACGTTTTCACATAATGGTCCCTCTGCAGCCTGCTCACCACAAAAGCATGGGGATATATGTTCTTCTTTTGAGATTTGTTTCCATGGGGTGGAGTATAAAGACAAGAGATTTAACTGCAAATTAAACACAAGATACTCCTTGTGTTGATGCAGTGAAAATTGCCGTGTACTCACAAAAGACGCTAATGCAGAGTTATTTCGCCTTAAGCATGTACCAAAAAAAGCTTCATCCTCTCCCAAACCTCCCACTTAATTATTTTGTTATACAACGTCTTCATATGAAAGAGGCCTATACATACAATATGACGGGGGCTAATTTAGCTACAACAAATCAGGGAAAAGATCTTGGTGTCATCGTGGATAGTTCTCTGAAGTTGTCCACGCAGTGTGCAGAGGCGGTCAAAAAAGCAAACAGGATGTTAGGAATCATTAAAAAGGGGATAGAGAATAAGACGGAGAATATTTTATTGCCCTTATATAAATCAATGGTACGCCCACATCTTGTATACTGCATACAGATGTGGTCTCCTCATCTCAAAAAAGATATACTGGCACTAGAAAAGGTTCAGAGAAGAGCAACTAAAATGATTAGGGGTTTGGAGAGGGTCCCATATGAGGAGAGATTAAAGAGGCTAGGATTTTTCAGCTTGGAAAAGAGGAGACTAAGGGGGGATATGAGAGGTATATACAATTATGAGTGATGTGGAGAAAGTGGATAAGGAAAAGTTATTTACTTATTCCCATAATATAAGAACTAGGGGTCACCAAATGAAATTAATAGACAGCAGGTTTAAAACAAATAAAAGGAAGTTCTTCTTCACATAGTGCACAGTCAACTTGTGGAACTCCTTACCTGAGGAGGATGTGAAGGCTAGGACTATAACAGTGTTTAAAAGAGAACTGGATAAATTCATGGAGGTTAAGTCCATTAATGGCTATTAGCCAGGATGGGTAAGGAATGGTGTCCCTAGACTCTGTTTGTCAGAGGATGGAGATGGATGGCAGGAGAGAGATCACTTGATCATTACCTGTTAGGTTCACTCCCTCTGGGGCACCTGGCATTGGCCACTGTTGGTAGACAGGATACTGGGCTAGATGGACCTTTGGTCTGACCCAGTATGGCCGTTCTCATGTAGGCCACTTTGGCTTAAAATGTCAGGGGACTATTCCCAGTAGGGCTTTGATGTCTGCTTTCAGAGCCAGCACTACATTCAGCCATGCTTGCTTAGGACAGACAGTTACTAATGGAGAAGTCAAAGGTGACCTCCAAATGGAAAAATAAACTGGACCCTGCCCGTTTATGCTTCTTTATATTTAAGATGCAGAAAAAGGCATGGAAGGTTTATGGTCATTCCTTCCTACACAAATGTTGTCCACATTAGAAATTCAGATCTTGTGAACCCTGGAACATAATGAGGGTGATAGGGAACCAGCAAAATGATACCATCACAAGAGTGAAATCTGCACAAGTTTGAGAAGCAATTTTGTGGGACTGTCTAAAATTGCTTTTTGTTTAGTTTTGTCTACAGCTATTTAGTTTCAACACCTAATGAACACTGGGTTGAAAGTGTTAGAGTCAGTAGCCCCACCCTTTCGATTAAGAGCCGACGGCACACATGTCTGGAGACCCGCAAGCCGTTCTCCAACAGAACCAGGGACAACTGGACTGGGGAGTGCATATTTATCTGCATGGTATTTCCAAGGGCTCCACAGCAGGAACCATCTTTATTTTGTGTCTGGCACACTACAGATGAATGACATAAGAATAACTAATTTTTTAGAGTTTCATCCAGTTTAGCTGTAAGTGGAGCTTCCATCACTTCCCTTGAGGGACCTACTGCACAGCCCAATGTATCTCACTGATTTTGCCAGCCTCGATTATCCCTTTAGTAAATTGCATCATCCCTATATTTAATTATCCTTGCACTAATTTATTCAGCACTAAATTATCCTTTTATTTATTCCATCTACTCCTGTATTATACAGACTAGTCCCATCCTAGCGAATTCCCCTTTCTCATTAGTGTTCACAGACTTCAAGTATTTGTAGGCTGGTGTCATGACCTGCTTTTGTTGTCTCTTAGCCAAGCTATACATATTTAGCACCTTTAATCTCACCGCATATCTTCAAGCAAACCTAACTCTTTTTTATTGCTGTTCTCTGAACTTCCCTCCAGTTTGCAGAAAGATTTCTGCCAAGGTCTATTACTTCCCAACTGCAGGACACCATCCTTCTGTTTATGCTGCCCAAACATGCAGAGGGTTTTTTTAGGGGATGGGGTACTTTTATCACATGATAATCTGTCTCACTGTCAGACCTAGGTCTCTTTCAGCATTACTGCTTTCCAGATTTCTCCTGCCCATTGACAAGTCTAGTCCCATCTATCCGAACACACAGAAATGAACAACAGTGGTTCAAGATTCAGGAGTTACAACATCTGGATTCTTTTCCCAGCTTCAGCGCAGACTTCATTGACTTATCCCAGGTCATACCACTTCTCTCTGCCTTCATTTCCCCATCTGTAAAATGGGGCTCATAATAAACAGTTGATAAGGCAGTTATTAGAGGACAAAGCCTCATGTCAGTGAGGGGCTTTGAGATCTTCTGAATGAAGCTGATATGGAAGTGCAAATTATCTTTGTTACGTTCCATTACTATGCCAGCACCCATCTGCAAGCGGAACCCTTGAAAATGCAATTCAGAGGTCCATGTCAAATGACGTAATTAGATTTATGATTTTTTTAAGAAAAAAAAAGACAAAGCAGGCAATTTTTTGCAAATAAAAGTTTTCAAGGCAAAGACCAGCAACAACAGTTATAATTCATATTTCAACGATCAAATAAAAACCAAAACATTCTAATGTAACAGACTTGTTAACCAGAAACAATAAAAGAATTTAGAAATACTAGAGAAAAATAATACATTGCATTAGACATTTCATTTTACAAGGCAATTTGATTAAGTTACTAATGACTGATAGAACAGCACTCTAGGTCAATCTTGGAATAGCCATGTTGACAAGAACGCAAACTTTGTAAATAGACAGCACTTACTGTAGAAATATTAAGACTAAAGATATTTACCCATTAAAGTGAACAGAAAATCATCTAGATCAACCATAAAATTAGTAATTTTTTAAAAAAAAGCAACCAGGTGTAACAAAATCCTAACCTAGATCTATATTTTTTGTTTGCTAAGAAAATTAAAACAACAAACAACAACAAAAAACTTATATTATCTTTAAAAGAAAGACATTTCTAAAAAGTCAGATTATTCACTAGGTGCAAAATTCACCCTGTTTTTGTTCAGAGGGCCAGCGCGAGGCCTACACAACACTTAAAACTCCCTATTTTAAGGGCTTAAATGGGACTTAGTCTTCACGCTGTCCTTCTGAACAAACAAGGGGCAAAGTTCTCCCTATACGTGAAATTCATCACGGTGCAGAAAACCCAAAGCCATCTGCATCACTTGGCCCCTCAACATGGGACTGAATATGGCACGCAGGACATTGTGCAGATCTTCTGCACTGGGGTGAATGTCACACTAAAGGAATAATTTTGGTATAAAGGCTCCCTCGGCCTTTTGCAATTAATTCAATATTTAAAAAAATATTTTTTGTATTAAACACTACAACTGGAGGGAGTGACATCCTTTCTAAAGCAAGGAACAACAGTGATCAAGAGCAGCTAAGGACAGGACCTGTGAACAGCAGGTCTCTAAAGGGCCATCATCTAACACTAGGGACATCATCTAAATATTCCTCACTGTTAAAAACAACGGTTCAGCTCTACCAGTGCTAGAAACATTGAGAGCCCTATTAGATGGGCTGCCAGTTGCCACCATTACCTTGAGCACCGTCACCCTGTTCAAAGCAGGACTGATTGACATCTTGCTTAGACCCCTGGCAGCAGCCAGTGCCCATCTACACTACAGCTCCCAATGCCGCAGTGTAGAGAATGGTGAGAAACTCCCCTACCATGGCCTGAGCCAAAGTGAGGCTGAACACCTGTGACTCTCCGTGGAGTCAGTGAAAACTGAGAGGAGCTAAGCATCTTTCATGATCAGGCCCCACAAACCCACGTGCTACTGTTCTCACGCAGGCAAAATACCCATGAAAATCAAGAGACCAAATTCACCACGGCCACAACTGGGTGCAGCCTCCATGAAATATGCAGCAGCCTAGGGAACTTTATAACTTCCATGGGAGTTTCACCTGAAGGAGTGTTGAGGTTTGGCCTGAAGTCAGTATCTTGAACTCCATTGTCCCCTCGGGAAGATGCCACTTCCTGCAGCTGGATAAAGCAGATACTATGTGGGCTCCCAGTGTGAATACAAGGCTGTAATTGACTCCAGAGAGTCCTGCTGATGTGAAAAATGTCAGACAGCTCAGTGCGTGAGCTTCAGCAAAGGTCCTGGAGGAAATTAAAGCCATCTCACTTCTGGCCTGCCTCATTTCAGCTCTAATAGAGGACTCAAACTTTAAGAACATTGTTTCAATATATTTTTTAAATTAAAAAAAATTCTTAGTGGTTCAACAGTTCTTTTAGCCTTCCCTTTGATGTCACTGAAAGGGGAGTTACGCAACCCTTTTATGAAAATGCAGTAGTGCCTCGTAATAGAGGCTCTCTAGTGTTTTGTAAATGGTAGCGTTTGGAATGACTACCACCGAATACGGTACCATCTGTTTAAGGTTTCAGGGGGCTTTCACAGACAAAAGGGAAAAGACCTCCCAGTGTCACCACTAAATGGAAAATGACCCTGTCATGTTCAGACAAACCTAAATATGCATTCCAGAAACATCTTCAAATCATCAGGTACCGTCTTCCTTCCAATCACTGCCAATGGCCAAATTATTTATGAATCTGTAGCGTTGACTAATGAGCACAGCCTGCTCCACCTCTCCAGTCTATGTCACAATCCAGCACTAGAGACAAACTGACCGCAAGAAAGTCACACCAAGGAATTTCAGTTACACTCCCATCTCAGCTGTCAGCATTGCTTGAAGCAGGGAAGAACAACCGAGCAATTTAATACGGGTTTCAATCAAATTGGACGATCTTTAAAGTTTGCTGGACAGCAACAAGGTATGTACAGTGCGTGCCACTAAAAATAAAACCCTGTTTACCACGACACGATATTCGGAAGGGGAAATGCTGCACATACTGCAGGAAGTTTAATTAGCCAGGATAACATTTTTTTTTTTAAATAACACACCACCCACTGTATTTCACCTGCCCTCCAGAATTTACACTGAAGCCACAGTTAAACCCCTGACACCATCTCTATGAAATCCCAGCTGGCATGGTTTCCTTTGCATTATTTTGCCAGGATGGATGTGGGTAGTAAGGGCATAGTCTCATTTCAATTAGGGTGGATGTTTATGGGTTAGGGGGAGGGAGAAAGAGGCAGAGCCCTATTACGCACTGGGGAATGTGCCCATTGAATCAAGGACCTCTCTCCCTTACCCTCTAGGTAACAATAAGGGAAGCTTGCCATGAACATTCAGTGACAATTATTTCCCTGCAATTAATCCTAAAAACTAGTTGCCATGGTCCCATACACTCTATTCTATTAACACTACAGTAAGCTGTAGCTGTTGGGGTCACAACTGCACAACACTATGCTATAAAATTCATTTACAAGATACTTCACTGGTTGGGGAAATTTACTAAACGGCAACATCAAATAGTCATTAGTATTTTACAAGTAACAATGACACTTTCACTGTGGTTTCGTTTGAGTGTGTGCGAGGAGAGAGATAGCCTCTCTCTTTTGGGTCACCCAGAACATACAATAGGATGACTGATCACAGGCAAAACCATGTCTAGTCTAGATGATTTATATGCAGTCTCTCCAGACCCACTCTCAGCTCCTCATGCCCCGTCAGCTGGCACATTTCACCCTGCTTTTGATCAGAAAGGCAGCAGAGGTCTTTCATTGGATGTACTCTATCCTGGCTAAACAAGTCCAGCCTCAAAGCTTCTGAATGATAGTTATGCACCTTAGCATTGGGATGTAGATTCTGCTGACAGCATCTATATTTGTAACAGCAATTTCTTCTCTTTGCCAAAACTGCTTTCAACTTTTTTTCTCCCCAAAGAAAATTCATTCAGTTTTACCCCTTTACCCATTCCCTCCCCAACCCCCCAAAATACCATCCAGAGGCCACCATTCTCTGGATGAAGAGGACTACCTGGGATTCCCTTCCAAGACAATCAGTCTGGTCCCTGAAAGATGAACTTGCACACTGGGAAAACTCAGAATGAGATTTCAACCTTGGCCTACCAGATACTCCTCCTGCCTCATCCTGTGGTGACACAGCAGTTGTTTTTAGGATATAGTTATTGCCATAGGAACAATGCTGATGTCATAACGGAGCGTTGTGATTTCACCGCAGGAGCACGCAGACTGACCTGAGAGAAACTTCTTCACTGTGAGTGGATGTCAGGAAGGAAAGCTCTTCAAGAGAAGCAAGCAGGTTGAGGTTTTAATTAAGACTTGTTAAAAAAAAGGAAAAAGGAACTCCCCGGTGTGAAAACCCTTCTTTACACATAGGTCTTAAAGGTTAAACAAGAGGAAATCCATTTTCATCTCTTCTTCACCCTTGAAGCTAGTGTAGAGATGGGTCCAAACCAAGCAATGCCAAAACTCTGGGGAGGTTTGGAGCCAGATCTGAACTTTTTGTGACTTCAGCATAGCTACTAATTTACTTCAGCTTGGGGTGGGGGAGGGATGAAAAACCCTCTCTCTTCCCACCCCCAATAATTCTGCAGTTGGCTACATGGCACTTAAAGTCCCTGCCAGCCAAGGGGGCTAGAGCCCAAGTCAAGAAATTCAAGCCTGGTACCCCATGTGGCTGGTCCGAAGAACACTAAACCCTAAGAGAAAAGAAAATCTAGCACGAGTGAAAGGTGTCGGATTGCCTGAGGTGCTCTGTCCGCAGAAGAGGTACTGACTGCACATGCAGTGGCAGTGCAAATTTCCCCTCCCTGTCCTGCCAAAGCACCTCAACCCTGATCTGGAGGAGAGGAGCTCAGATTCCCTGGCCCATGAGTTGTTCACCTGTCCACTAGGAATGGTCTGAGACCTACCAACCCACTGCACAGAGTTCCCCTCAACAGCTATCAGATGTGCCACTACCGACCCAGGTTGGATTGGAATAGCTGACCTAACAGTGAGATATTTTACAGGACAAATGAGCCATCCACTCCGCCAATCATACTTACTAAGAACAAGGAGAATTTTTTTTTTTAAATGGCAGCAACAGTGCTGCTTATATAAACTTGTTGATTTAACTACAACTATTGGTCATTTTCTCCGGATGGTCTTAGGAGATGCTGCTGTCTGGAACTGCTACAAGCTGCCAAGCCTCCTGGCAACACCGCTTCATAAAAGGACAGTGCATCGACTAAAGGCTTCAATATGCTTATTGCCTCTCTTTCCAGAAATCTTCCATGCTGACAAAAGAATGCAAAACAAAGCAGACACACACCTGACAGAGGCAGAGTTCTAAGCCCCTAACTCTACAGGGTTACTACTTCAAAATATCTTGCTTTACAAAAAAACAGTACTGCAGGGCACAAGTTTAATTACCCTTTTCTAAAGGAGGGAATGGCCAGGCAAAAGCATAAAGGCGACTCTGGAAGGGACTAGCACAGCTCACTTAAGGAAAATATACTTTTGCTTTTAAAAGAGAACATCACCTTTCACACAGATGAGATCAGGGCAATTTGTTACAGAATTTGGGGCCCTGCGTCCTGCTAAAGAGACAGATTTTTTAGGTAAGGAACCAATCCAGTCCTTAAGAGAATGACCCTGACTACATGGCAATATAACAGGTTACAGCACTCTGTATGCGAGCAGAAGAGTCTATATTCAAGTTGGAATGGGAAAGTTGGCTCCCTGTAGTCACCCAGAAAACAGACACACATTCACATGGTCCGTAGAACTGCAGATCCTGGTCGGCATCCAAAGCAGTGCCACCCTCTGGAAGGCAGAACGTCCTAGAAAGAAGGTCTAATGCCAGCCAACCAGAATCTGGTGCTGCAGTTTTACGTGAAGGAGCACTTTTCCAGCATCGCTTCTAGGAGCCGTGAGAGAAATAGAACATCAGTCAAACTGATGGTAGATGGGTAGCAAAGTGACCCCTGAGGATCCCCCATTTGGGGACACTCACGTTTCCCTCCACCCCAGACTTACTTAGTCCCATTTCCTCTGAATACATTTCTAGAAGAAACACAGTGAGTACTGCGTTAATAAAGCCATCACAGCAGCCAATACACTGACATGCAATCTGTGAGTTTGAGCTAGGAGAATCCATTCCAAACATTCTCTGTATGACTTGTTTAAGAGCAAGCATCAAGTACACCGAATGCTGATGGAGTGCGCCACTTGTTGGCATGGCACTGAGCTGTGTATGTGCTTGACTCGAAACAGTCTTCAGGATAATGTAGAATGCAGCCATCTCACCACCTGGCCTTCTGCTCATTTTTCAGAAGGCAACTTAAACTTCCCATGAAACGCTGCCCTTTGGACCCTGACCTCTACCCCAGTACTAATTCACAGGAGTAGAGGATATGCATTCCGGGTACGCAAGGATAATCATAGGACTAGTGTAACTAGAAAAGTAGCCTGGCATGCTGGCCTAATAACCAAGAGAGGGCTAAGACTGAACAGCAGAGAACAGGCAACGGAGCGTGATCCAGATTGCTCTTTTCAGCATCAGAATGAAATCAAAATACATGTACATGCGCCAGGCTCTCGGAGACATTAATTCTGCTTCACCCTGGGCTTTCGCGTATCACTGTCATGGCACCTCACTGGCAGACTCCAAAGCATCCAGTAGAATAAAATTGTGTGTGTGTGTGTGTGTGTGTGTGTGTGTGTGTGTGTGCGCCAATTATCGAACAATCTTTGCTTTGCAAACATCTCTAAGAATTTGCTAATATTTATTTTAAGTAGGTAAAAAGCAGAAACACTTGGAGTCCCTGAGGTGGGGGAAAAAACCCAACCATATATATATATATATATATAAATATAAATATATATATCCAATGGATTACAGCTTTAGTATCACTAAAAACAATAATAAAAAAAATTCATGGGGGGGCAGCAAAAAAAGGGCCAGGGATCCAGTTGAAATCAGTGCAAGTCCTTGTTTAATATCAGCATCATGTCTATCTCAGTCCATTTGTTTTGTCTACTTGTGCCCAGGAGTGTTTAGCCTTCCAAAGATCTCGCCTGGTGAGCTGGCTGGGTTTGTTGCATTTGAAAGACAATGACTTGGAGGACTGTTTTGCAGCCCTGTGGCAGTGTGAAATCCCCATCCCTTGCACAGGCACATGTGTAACATTGACTGCCTTGGAATTTCTGTTTCCTTTAGCAGATTCAGCTGCAGCCGCTGTGATGGAGAAACTAAATGCTAACCTTAAATTAAAACACGACAACAAATAAGCACAAACAGAACGGAAGTCCAGCCATCAATCACACACACAGACAGAGAGTGCCTGATCAGTTTCCCGGTAACCAGAAGGGCTGGAGCCTCTTGAGGACACCAGCAGAAACTCCTCTTCCTAGACTAAATTCGTACCCCAAGAACTCTTCTTCGAAGTGTTGCTCGGCTGCCTGGCTTGGTGGTGGTGATGGGGCCAGGGAGGGGAAAGCAGGGCACGCCAGGGAGTGGAGTCTCAGGGATGCAGCAGCTCTGCCAAGGTGCTCAGGGTATCTAGATTTATGAGGGATCAGAAAGATTTTCTTTTGCGTTGTTTTAAAATAATATTGTGCGTTTCCCCGAGCCGAACGTCTTTGCTTTTCCTCCTTAAGACTCTTGAGGAACCACTTCCATCAGCTTCTGGCACAGGACTGTCACGGAAACTGAATGGGAGGAAACAAGAGCGCGTTAAAGGCACCGGAATGCAAGTTTTACTCGTTTCAGCCTGGAGAGCTGGTAGCTGGTTTCATGGTCCTCTGCCTCAAATGGCCTGACAGGGCAGCTGTCCCACTTTTTTCTTTCAAAGGAGTCTGTCTAAATACTACACAGCTCTTCATTGCAAATCAAATACAGTAACGCCTTGCCTAACGTTGCAGTTATGTTCCTGAAAAATTGCTACTTTAAGCTTATACACGGTATAAGTTTTAAACAAACAATTTAATACTGTACACAGCGATGATGATTGTGAAGCTTGGTTGCGGTGGTGGAGTCAGAGGGTGGAAGACGATGGGATATTTCCCAGGGAATGCCTTACTGCTAAATGATGAACTAGCACTTGGCTGAGTGAGCCTTCAAGGGTTAACCCATTGTTGTTAATGTCGCTTCACACACTACAAGGCAGCACGAATGGAAGGAGGAAACACAGCATGGCAGAGAGAGACAAAGACACACACCGCGTGTGTGTGTGTGTGTGTTAGACACAGACACACACACACAGAGACACACACCGTGTGTGTGTGTGTGACTCCATGCATCTGAAGAAGTGAGGTTTTTTACCCACGAAAGCTTATGCCCCAAATAAATAAATCTGTTAGTCTTTAAGGTGCCACCAGACTCCTTGTTGTTTTTGTGGATACAGACTAACACGGCTACCCCCTAATACACATGTGTGTGTGTGTGTGTGTGTGTGACAGAGACACACACCATGTGTGAGAGAGAGATACACATTGCCCCTTTAAGTACGCTGACCCCACTCTAAGTACACCTCCTTTTTAAGTAGATCAGCAAGGTGAGACAGCAGCTGCTGCCAGCAAGCTCCCTCCGTCCTGAGCCCTGTCGTGTCCCCCCTGCTCTGTGGAGATGGGGTACAGGAGCGGGGGGTGCACCCCTCCCGCCCCGCACAGCAAGGAGGCGGCTCCCGGGAGCAGCTCCAAGGCAGAGGGCAGGAGCAGCACGTGGCAGTGTGGGGAGGGACAGCTGAAATGCCCGGCAATTGATAGCCTGCTGGGCGGGTGCACAGGGAACTTAAGGGAGCTGATAGGGGGGCTGCCGGTCCACCCTGGTTCCAAGCTCCAACGGGCTGCTCTTTCTGCAAGCAGTGAACAAAGCAGGCGGCTGCTAAACAGCGTTATAAGGGAGCACTGCGCAACTTTAAACGAGCATGTTCCCTAATTGATCAGCAATGTAACAACGAAACAATGTTAACCAGGACGACCTTAAGTGAGGAGTTACTGTACCAAGGCTATATGCTGCCTCACTCCTTCTCCACAACTTCCATCTGTAACAGCAAGAGTTTGTGCATAGAATAAGGGTAAAAATTAATCCGATGTCGGTGTCAGAGTATGTGTATTGACTACATGTACATTTCTAAATCCAGTCTGATTAACTGCATACTCATGGGAATGATCAGTTATTACTGTACATATGTGCACATGCCATTTAACATGTGCAAATCATTAAGGCCCAAATTTCAGAACTGTACATGCAGTTACTGCGAAGTCACAGTAATGGTGCATACACGTTGTGAGACAGCATTTTTGCTTGCCCGGTTCTCAGTGTCTGATCCTGTACATGCATTTTCCTTAAAGACACAGCAGTGTTGCACTGTCACAAGCAACCAACAAATGAGAATGTGCAGCCCAATGCTTATGCACATCTTTGCAACAACAAAAGAGGGGGGCACATGCACAACGGAGGGGGGAGGAAATTTAATTAGGAAACATTTCAACTGCAAATTTATGAGGGGGGTATAAATTGTAAGATTTTTTTTAAATCATAAGTTACCTTGACCGTGTCTTTTTAAAAAGTGTGTTTCAATGGTTCTGTGCCATCACTACCACACTGAGTGTTCTCTGCACGTGAGACAATCTTGGCAGATACAATTAACAGGGATTCTGATGAGCTGGATCTGATCACATTATCTACAGTATATTAATACATATGTGGGCATAAGGCTCGTGTGTGCCTAATTAGACACTTGACAGATTTCTTATTTTGTGCTCTTGGACTATTTTCTCTATTCTCTGCTTAAAAGCCTGTCCTGGTGGCACATAATTAATATGCTAATTTGCAACTCAGTCGCTGTGGAAACAGCTTTACCAAGAACTAAGCCTGATACTTCGAATTAAAAAAAAAAAAAAAGTAAAGTCCTGAGCACTGTTAAAAAGCACTTTTCTTGTTAATAAAAAGCACATAGATAAGGTTTGGCATTTCTGCTTGTCTGCTTTTCTAGGTCAGCCAGCTGTATTCGAGTCTCAGACAGATGGTGGAGTTTAGTTACTTAGACAACACAGCTTGACTTTCTTGAATCAGTTGTTCAGACAGAGAGATTAGGTGGTGCCAGGCAGAGAGCTTTCCATCCCTGAACACTCACGGTGGTGTAGACATTGACAGCTGAGACACACCTATATTACATGAATACTTGACAAATAAAGCTCCCAAGAGAATCTACCAGGATATTGTCCCTTCCCTGGCTGTGCTATCTTACTGATGGTAAGGGAGGGCATTGAATGCACCGGGACCAGTCTCCATTGTCTATGTGAAATAGACAACATGTTGGGGGCTAATTCTGATCTCACCTTCCTTAGAATTAGCCTCACTGCACTCAGATTTTGACACTGTATCTTCATCCCCCTTCCCACGTCACCCAGCAGGATGTTTTCCTCTGCTAATAAAGCTCTGACACCGCAGATCTTCGGCGGGCATAAGAAAGGCAGTCTCAGCAGCTCGCTAGGGATTTATGTCCCAACGCATCATTTCCCTGTTTGGGGGGTAGCGGGGGGAAGATTCACGTGTTTGATTGGTGATTTGCAATTACAACAGGTGGACTATCATTCTGGGTGTCTGGCCCACAAGCTGACCCACCGATTACCAGTTGGATTGTTTAACAGAAACCCATTAAAAGCCCATTGTAGACCTTTGCAATACGAATGACAGCCAATGCTACCTGCCGTAGCATGCTTAGTAAGAAGCGAAACATTATCTATGTAGCCAAAGACAAAAGGTGCACCCTGCAAAGGCTGACGGCTGTAGTTATAACTTACAGATGCTTTGGAGGATCCACTTGGGTTTGTTTTTCCACCAAACCCCAAAGAAGTAAACGGGGATCCCACTGAGGATGATCGCAAAGCCGATAGCACATTCCACTGGTGTCATCCAGAAGGAGACCACGATCAGGAATAAGCAGGCCAGGATGAAGAAGATGGGCAGCAAGAGGTTAACCTGGACACAGGAGACAAGAAAGGGGCGGGGAGTTAGTTAAGGAGGATCTGAAACAGAGGCAATTGAAGTTTAGCTCCCTGCAATGTGTGTGCCTGGTTTTGACCTGGGAGGGGAAGTGTTTGGATTCTGAGACAGACCCTTTGCAGATGATACCCCTGACTGCTCACCACTGTGAATGAGAGGTTGTGGATTTTTAGTTTCCCTTGGGAAGATAGGACGCTCTTCATCCATCAATCTTCATCCTTCAATCGTGGCAACACCCTGGAGAGCCAGAAGTATTATCACCCCTGTTTTACAGAGGACATAAATAGGCCACTGGAAGGGCTGGGCGGCCTAGTGGTTAGCATGCCTGACTTCTGGCCCCTTTTTTCCCTGGCAGAGGTGCCTGGTTGCTAACCTTAGATGAGGAACTTTCTGGACTCCACTCACATCTGAGTCTCAGCCCTTAAGGGGATATGGTAGAGGGACCCAGGCCCGCCCTCTCCATCTGGTCCAGCCCAGGGCCCTGTGTGAAGCAACACTGGCAGGTTCCTCTGGCAGAGAGTCTAAGTCCACTGCTCTGGACTACTTCCTACCGATGTCCCTTCAGTGTGAGGTGTGGCCCCTATTTTCCAGTCTGTAGTGACTCATCTGGAGTAACGCCTAGACCGTTAGTGGCATCCTGCCACGGCCTCATGTCCCTCTGGGCGTGGGCGGATATATGTGTGGAGGGGGCCTAGTCTCACAACGCCCTTCTAGTCAAATAGTACAGTCTACTCAGTGCTGGGTGCTCATCAGTCTTCTCAGGGCCCACAGGCTCTCATCAATCCTATACTGCTGGTGTGACATTTCTCTGCTCCATCACAGAGAGGCGAAGTGACTTACCTAAGGCCACACAGCAAATCCCTGACGTACCCGGATCTGGAACCCAGGTGTTCTTGGCTCCCAGTCCCACGCTCAGTCCATCCATTACATATAAAACTATAGAGTATCTCAACTAACAGTCCTGAATGCAGCAGGATGACTAACGTGAGCTGTAGCGATTTAGGTCGTTGCTTTAGAACACCATAGTACTCTTAAAATAAGGGAGCAGACCCCAGCTTTCAGCAGGGAAGCTGCTTGCTAAGAGCCATCTTGGGAGCACTGATCTGGGAAGATCTGTAACGTGTGTTGCTTTTTGGCCATCGGTGGCTTGGTGGGGATTTGAGTGCGCTCGGAAGATGACGGCATAGAATGCCTTTCAGAACAGCTGACTGACTCCAGGGATTGACATGATCTTGGCCTCTAACCAAATGGGCCCAATGTCCTGCCAGGGCAGCCGAGGACAATCCAAATAAAGTTCTCTCCCCTGTAGTTTGTTTCTTAAACAAATATTTTTAAGTCAATTTCATGCTGGTACAGAGCATTCGATTGAGAACCGCACGGGCCGACGTCCTTTACTACTAATCCTCTGAGCAGGTTTAACACGGAGAGCTTTCCCGTGTGCTGCCCTGCCAAGGTACCTCACCCCTGACATGGAAGGAATTTCCAGGACCTGGGTGTCTCAGCCGTGGGCCTCTATACCGATGAGGGAGCCAATGAGCATCAGCTGAGATGGAGTTTTGTGCAACGTGGATTCCCGCCTACCAGGAACCAGACTGACACCAGCCACTCATTTCACACAGGCCTCTGTTCGTTCACATCTAACTTGGCTTGCTCTAAAGTTGCACCTCTGCACAGTAAAGCAGCTGCATTTTCCACTCGTCCCTGTACAGATTTTCTCACCCTTACTGCTGAGGGGGAAAATTTCTATACACGGAAGTCACATCCTAGAACACAAAAGAACTGCCCTTCTCCCGGAAGTGCCGCCATAAAGCCTCCAATCCCGCCACCTTCCCACTAGCATCACAGAACCCTGAGCACGGAGGGGGAAGCTCTGTGTCTGCAGGACTCCCCACTACACTGCCAACACCATCCTCACCTTGATGGGCCTTTCCAGCTCCGGCTTCTTGTAGCGGAGCCATATCATGCCGACGATGGCCAGAGCCACACAGAGCCAGTTGAAGAAGCTGAAGAAGTTGATGACGGAGAAGATGTCATTGGAGAAGGCGTAGAGCAGGGTCATGAGGCACTGCGGCCAGAAACAGAAGCCATGAGCAAAGGGACAGGCAGGGGAGAACACCATACACTGCTAATGACAAGTGTCTGAGAGCAATTGCCTACCATTGAAGAACAGTGAAGGATTTCCAAGCATATGTAGAAGAGGTGGCTTAATTTTTACTAATTTAACCAAGTCTGATCACTGCATGGAATTATTTCAAGGTGAAACTTGCAATCCAAGGCTATGCTATGGGGATGAGGGCCATATAAACACACAGAGAGAAAAAAGAGGGTGGGTTTTTGGAGGATGAAAAGGAGGGGAATTTTCTTAGTGCTCAGGAAACCAAGGGTCTGAACGAGTCGGACAGAATCAGTCACATTAGGAACAGGAAGGTGCTATGGAACATTTCCCCACACAGCTCTGCTGAATGCACTTCCGTTCTGACATGTGCTACCACTTGTATTCCCGGCCTGAGCGCTCTCTGTGCAGCTCACCCAATGCATTTCAATCACAACCAGCAGTGCTCCGGGCTATTGCAGTCCTTGATCCCTGCCACAGCTGTACCAATGCCCCCAAATCGGGTCCTGCAGCACCTGCTGCTCTTTCCGTCTTGGCATGCACTCTGTGTGGGCCCCCAGTCACGACATCCCCTGCCCCTCCTCCCATTGTAGACAGAGAATTTGAAGTGCAGTCAGTCTTACACAGATGCGTGAGGTGGGATCGAGCTGAAACATGGACTGGATGATTCAGCAGGGATCTCCACTAAGCTAACTGAATCTGTGACCAGGTGATAGTCTATCTGCCCTTCACTTCCTCTTTCGCCCTGCCACACTTCCTTCCAAAGGTTTTTATTTTGAAGTGCAGAGACGCGTTCTTCTCGCCCGCAAAGACTAACTACAGCTGCTGTTCTACAGCTGCGGGTGCTCTGAGAGTGTCAGGAAACATCCGGAGAATGCAGATCAGCCAGAGGAAGACTGTGGCACCAAAGTGACACACATTTTCCCCAGGGACCACCCAGGACTTTTCAGTTTATTGGGGCTGGTGGCAATCTGGATTCTCTGCTGCAAAACTTCTCCCCTCCGTTCCTAGAACGGTGACTTAAGATACAGTGGTAACAGCTGACACTAACTTACATGCTAAGAAACAGCATATAGCCTTATCAATGTCGCCCGGCATTTCAGCTTCCTGTGTAGTGCTGCTGTCTCACTAGGACATCCTCACCCCATGCACTTGATTAAACCTAGCAAGACATGTGGGGCCTGGGAGGACTACTCCCTATGGCATACTGGCAGACACTTTGGGGATCGGCAAAAGGAGGAGGAGGAGGAGGTTTACCTTCCACTGGGACAACAAACAGAGATTGCTTGTTTGGATTCAGTGGAGTATCCCACAGTCATTTTCCTGCAGCCCCAGTAGGGGCAGGCATTGGTGGACCATGGCTTGCTCCACCGTCTCGATCGGTTGTGTTCTCCCTGCCATGCGCCACCTTAATCTGAAAGCCCATAGGACACTTACTGTGAAGATGAGAGATGGTACCGGAGTAAGAAGCTTGGGGTGAATCATGGACAGGACAGAGGGCAGGTGACCCTCCCGGGATCCCACGAAGAACAGCCTGAGGGCAACAGAGCAGTTACTCCACCTGGTGCAAGTGCTTGGGAGTCACTCACTCAGTTCAGGTTTGCATTCAGTACAAAACAAGGTACAACAGCGTGACAGAAGCATAGGCATTTTGGAATGAGCCAGGCTGAAATGACACTCTGAACCCAACCTGTAGTACGTAGGTATTGCCACATTAGTGATGCACTGCTATTCCAAGTGGCAATTGTGTGCCACTTATGCTCCCCACCACTGCTATTAATTATTTGCATGAGAGTGGCACCAGCTGAGATCAGGGCCTCAACATTCTGACTTCTGCACATATGCAGCTTGCCCTCTACACAGAGAAGGCAGAGGGTGGGAGGAAGAAAGTTTTCTTATCTACATTTTACAGATGGGAAACCAAACCAGAGCGATTAAGTGCCTTACTCCAGGTCACACAGGGAGTCTGTGGCAGAGCCGAGACCTGAACCCAGCTCTCCCGGGTGTCAGTCCACTGCCATCCTCTCTTTTCTTTTTGGGGAACCCTCAAGTCTTTGTTTTTGAGGCTTTATAAGCATCTGGGTTTACATTAAAAATGCTTTCTTGAGCACTGCTGTTAAAGTCCAAGTCTGTATTTATTAGGGTGACCAGACAGCAAGTGTGAAAAATCGGGATCGGGTGGGACGTAATAGGCACCGAATATCGCGACTGTCCCTATAAGATCGGAACATCTGGTCACCCTAGTACTTATTTAGCCTGCAGCCGAAGACACCCAATGACTTCAACAGGATTTTGCCCAAAGACAGTGAGACTAAGGTCTCCGCAAGGATTTAGGATTTGGCCTTCGGATCCTGTTGAAGGCAATGATACTCTGCTCATGAGCTCCAAGTGGCTCTTTAATGTGTCTCCTAAAGCCCTCTGCGGCACATGATATTTAAACACTGTGTGATCTAAGTTAACCAATCTAAGTTATTAACCAATCAGGATGCTTTTACTGTGTTATTAACCAACTATAGCTGATAAAATACTTGGTCAGTCATTTTGCTGTGAGAATTATATATCTATTTATTTACAGGCATGGTGACTAACCTGTCTTCATTTGGAGCTGTCATCCCAGGAGCGTAGATATAGCTAGATATAGTATGTATTTTAAATGAAACACCGAATTCACACGACTGTGGCTCTTTGGGATAATGTCGATCGCTAATTTGGCTCCTCGGGCACTGAGGTCTGAGTGTCACTGATTTAAGGCCTTTCAAAAAAATGACCACTCGCACTCCTTACATAGCGCACTGCCCCTTCCCTCTCTGTATCTATCCAGCGGCAGAACCTCGGAGACCCCGCTCCTGTGAGGACTGCTCCAAACAAAGACAGGTAAGGCACAGTGCCTGTAAATGGGACCTGCAGTACTGAGCAAAAAACATACCGAGAAGAAGTGAAGAGGGATCCATTGACAGACCCAAAACACGATAAGCCAACAAAGATGGGTATGATCCAAGACATCATGCCAAGGTGATAGTTCCCAAAGTCCTAGAAGGAAGCAACATTCTGTCAGCAACTTGCCGACAGGGACTCGTATCTATTTACCCAGACAAGTTTTTAACATATAAAACGCCCCATTCATGTTGACTATACACACACAAACTACTGAAGATTTTTCATACTGCCTTTTTCCCACGCCCAAAGCATTTTACAGAATTACATGATTGACAGAAGGCACTTCCCTGACATGCAGCCATCTCTTTTGCCTGGTCCACACTAACCCCCCACTTCGAACTAAGGTACGCAACTTCAGCTACGTGAATAACGTAGCTGAAGTCGAAGTACCTTAGTTTGAACTTACCGCGGGTCCAGACGTGGCAGGCAGGCTCCCCCATCGACTCCGCGTACTCCTCTCGTGGAGCAGGAGTACCGGCGTCAACGGCGAGTACGTCCGGGATCGATCCGGGATCGATTTATCGCGTCTACACAAGACGCGATAAATCGAACCCAGAAGATCGATTGCTTACCGCCGGACCCGGAGGTAAGTATAGACGTACCCTGGGGTGGAACATGACATCCATTAGAACAGCTTCAGCAATACCACACAATGGTTTAGAACAGAAAGTCTAGGAAAATACTGGATCCAGCTGCAACGGCAGGAGGATTCAGATATGCAAAACGTCAGTTTAGTCCAGGACACTGGAACAGACACCCCTGTTTTGGCGGGAAGTGCCATGGGCTCTTTAATGAGTCTCAGTTTTACGTCTTAGTCCGATTCATCCCAGTATTGCTCCAATTTTATGCCAGTGCAATTCCGCTATTTTAGTGGAGTCACTTCAGAATAAAACTGGAGTAGTGCAACCAGAGCTGGTATCTCTAGCAGCACAGCACCAGTTCAGTATTGATGGAGTGACCTTTTCCCATAAATGTCACATTCTGGTAACTGATCAGACAGTTACATGGCTGGTAGTCGGCAGCTAGGGTTATTTATGAACAACAATGCCATTTATTTCCCTCCCCCACCCTTGCTTATCACTCTGATTAATCCAGTTCAGTGTCATGTGGGGACAACCCTTCCCCACCTCTCATCTCCTGTCAAACACCAGCTTCTTGTAAGTAGCCAGGATAAGTGTTGAACAAATGGGGAGATCCACCTAGAGATAGCACGAGGGATTCAGGCAGCAGAGAGAAATAGATAAGAGCGTTTTTTGATGTGACTCATCTTACCACGGCCACGGCTTCAGACGACAGCATTTGTTCTGTTGACAGGGTAGTGAAGTAAGCCAAGTTCGTCAACACGTAAACTAAGGTGACTACGGGCAGTGAAATGATGATGGCTAGAGGCAGGTTTCTGGGAGGAAGAAGGAAATCATAACGTATTAGGATCTGGGGCTCTGAAGATCAGTCAGAGACATAATTCAAGAGGCAGCATGCTGGGGAGAGATGCTGCTGATGCAGAGACCAGCCTTTCTGAATAGGTTTTTGCACTGGCTTAAAGACTGCCCAATTTATTCTGCTTTTCCTTGGTCTTGCAGAGGGTCCAATCTGGCCTTCATCCTCCTGGGAGAAAATTCCAAAAATAAAAGTAGCCCAGCATGGTGGCTGGGAGGCAGAGGGAGATGGACTCTTGGGGGAGAAGACAGGTTGTGAGTGGACTCTGGCAGAGCAAATGGTGCTCGGGTTCAAGGCACAGACTTTCATTTAAAGAGCTCACAGTGTCAGATACCAGTGTCCGAACATTTACAGTAGTCAGCTGGCCAGAGGATAAGACCTTGTGCATGTGGCTGTCTACAAAGGAGACGGGAAGGTCAGGCTGTAGCTGGCAGTCACCAGAAAGCTGGCTGGGCCCCTGCAGCCCGTGGGAATCATACTCAGCTGTAACCTAAACAAATCCTCAAAGAGAAGCTGGTGTGAAGGCAGATTTGCCCTTCCTGATAGGCTAACTTAGTTTAAGCAAACTAATTTAAAAAGGAAATCCTTCTTAATGCAGCAGACAATCTGCCTGTGGAGCTCAAAGCTGCCGGAGGTCAGGGAGTCAACAGAGTGGCTGCATTCGGAAAGGGGGTGGACAATTACAGTCCACAAAAACGTGTCATTACCCATGTCAAGGAGAGGGTAAATGAATCTCATGCTTCGCAGCACAACTGATCACCACAGGGGTCAGGAATTGGCCTAAAGTGTAGCCAGTGGTGCCGCTGGCAATCACATGGTTTGCACCTCTCTTGCAGGCATCAGGGAATTGCCAGAGATGTTCTGCTCTGGCAAGATCAATCCCATGTTACCAGATCCCCTCATATAACCCTGACATAGACATGCAACGGACAGAAAGGCCCCATGCCTTGGGAGGAAAAAAATGCAGAGGTCAAGCATGCGTGGTAAACAGTAAAACTACGTCCTGGCAAGCCCTCTGGCATTTTGGTGAAAATATATATTAGGGAGGGTTATGAAATTGCAATAAAGCAACAAATGCAAAGAAAACCCCCTTTCTGCCAGCAAGTCCCAACTGTGAAGGAGCAGCTGCTGAGCCAGGCCAAAGAAACGGGACTTTCAAATGAGACCAGAGAGGGAAGGTGATTTAACAAGGGCTTCTATTAGACAGAGATTTTCTTTTCCCCCTCCCTGCAGAAACCGCATCCTGTACTAACAAAGAGCATTCTCATTATCTAGCATGCATTGCCCACAGCAGAGGTTTTGTTTGCCCCCAACAAGAGAGCTTATTTTACATTCCCTGGGATGCCTAGTGACAACACTTGCTACACACAAAGGGTGGCTTTGCGTTAACGGATGGAAGTGGCATTTAGAGGGAGAACAGCTGGTGAGTTTCCCTCTCTAGCCAAGAGCTCGCCATGTGGTGCACATACCTGTAGGGGTTTATCATCTCCTCAGTGACAAAATTCAAGTAATTCCTGCAATTTAAAAGACAATGGTAATTCTGGTTACAGAGATCAATGAAGTTAGAAAAAGAACCCAACAGCCTAACCCTAACCTCAACATGCATACGCAAGCTCCACTAGAGACAGATAAACCAAAGCATGCTCTGCAAAACCAAGGGTGGCCGTGTGTCTCAAATCTATGGCACAAGCACTGAGGCTACCTACAAAACCTTCAAACAAAGGTGTTCTCTGCAGGTCTCAGCATGCAATGCAGCCAGCTCGCTTGGAATAAGATGGATCACTGCATGCCAAGACTTATGGTCAGCTCTGTATTGCCAGAGGAGGGCCACAATCTGCCTCTATTTTTATTGCAAATAAAGAGAGCCCAAGTTTCTGGGCGCACATGTGAGAGTGTGAAGGGATTAATGAAGAAACCTGTAGGAGCTTTGGCTTGGAGTTGTCAATTGGCAGACTGATGTGTCAGTACTGACAGCTGCTGGTCACAGCTGCAGGGCCCACTACCTCTACTTTGACCTTTGCTCCTACACAAGCCACGGGCACTGGCTTACCAAAATCCAGTCAGTCTGAACCAATGGCCCATATAAGGCATATTACCTCTGAGTTCCTGCCCAAAATGAGGGATGGAGCCTTTTCAAGCCCAGAGCATGAGACGAATCCTTTCTCCCATGCTGCCTTGGTTAGCTGGAATAGCCTTTGCGATCTTGCTGCACCTAATTGTCCCCTGATTCTTCAAATATCCTTCTCCGTCTGTGACGATTCTGGCCCAATCAGACAATCCCACCTTATTTAGTGTCTCTTGGTTTCCCTGAGTTCGTTCACCATACAACCTGGGCATTTTATCAGGTTGCCCCTATACTTGCTCCCTGTTTTAAATACTGCAACTGACACCACTTGCTTGTACTTGCACATAGGGACCGGGGAGGGGCTGTAAGGATTGAGCATGAATAACACTAGACAAAAATTAAGCGATTGCACTGTTACCTTGGTGACGAGTAGAGCTAGACTAGAAGTTCTGGGCCATGCCCTCCCTGCCAACTCTCTCAAAGAGCTGAAGACAAAGAACTAAACTACACTGTCACTGCAATGAGTAATATGCCAGCATCTTACCAGCCTCCATAGGCAAAGAGACCACTATACAAAGCCAGAACAATGTTCCCCACATCGACGTTTGTGCCTTCGAAGGAGTGTTCAGGACTCAGGTTTGACACATCACCTACATCGAGACAAAAAACAAACAAGGACAGAATATTAAGATGTGAGAAGTAGGCAAAGGCTGAATCCCAGAGATCTTTGCAGGTTGACACAGACAGGAGACAGGCAGGGAAATGGTCTGGCAACACCCTGGGGCAAAATCTGCTGATAGGGCATTAGTTTTGTTGATGCAAAGCAGGTTGCGTTTCTGTTAGAGAAGGTGTAGACAGGTATATATTGGGCTCATCTCCTACTGCGTTACTCCAGTTTCACACTGTGTGGTTCCATTGCAGTAAAACTAGGATACGTGAAATTAACAACTAACTACAGCAAGAGTTCTCAAACTTTCCCACAGCGTGGATCAGGCTGACAGATAATGCCTCCTAGACACCTCCCCTCCCGTTCACCGTTGCATAGCATCTCATCTGACAACGGCGATGTCTGCTTACATGGAAAAGTAACATGAGGGAGCTAATGTATTTTTAGCTTCTTTTGATGCAAGTTAGCAAGCAGAAATCAGGAGATGAAAGCCCCGTGAAAGCAGCCAGCTCTCCTAAGGGCACCTCTGAGCACCTAATCCCCAGCACCAAAGCCCACATGCTGTTTCTCCTGGACTCACCACTGCTGGAACTTGGTCTACACTACAAGCGCTACAGCTGCTGTAGCGCATCTGGTAGATACGCTCTATGCTGACGGGAGAGCGTCTCCCGCCAACATAGTGCCCGTGTGGCCAGCACGTAGGTTGCTGTAACTTGCGTCACTCGGGGGCGTCTTTTTCACAGCTCTGAGCGACGTAAATTAGATTGACTTAAGCGGTTAGTGCAGACCTGCCCTAAGACACTGTATGTGCCAATAACAAAGTTTGGGGCCTTGATGCCATTGACTAAATTCCAAGTGGAACAATTTCTATCCTGCCTCCCTAAAGCTCCCCAGCTGTTTCAACCGAATAGGGGATCCTCTCTTATTCCCTGTCCTAAATGGTTGTGCAGCATTGCTGGGTGACTGTTAAACAGCTGCTCCTTCCACCCCAGCGCTAGCTGCATTTTAGCAGTGGGTGGAATGATTCCTGCATTATGCAGCTTGCAAAATGCTTTGGGATCTTTCTGTCTGAAAGATGCTTAAAAGACTTTGCTATTATATCGTCCTTCCACCAAACGCTGCATTTTCTCGATAAAGACCCAGGATTTCCTCTAGTTTCATCAGTGACCCAATAAAGCAGCATGTTATGGTATCCCCTTTGAATTGTGGGAAGGGAAGTGAGCTACCTTGGGGTCTAAATATCAGAAGTTCCTGTTATTTATCCATGATTGAATTAAAAAGCCATAAAAAGAGGATTTGATTGTAAATTTACTGAAAGCCCTTTCAGCACACCCGCAGGGGTTATTTGTTTTGCTTTAAATCTCTCTGCGGTTGTTTTGTTTCATGCTGTTTGATCTGGAGCCTAAATCCAGGCCTGGGGTGGGGCCTCTCCTTCAATGAAACAAGTGCTCCCCTTTGTGAGGGAGGAAGACAGGGGAGCAGCACAGGATTTGGTGAGGCACGTTAGCATCTGACCAGCAGGGTTGCCTCCCATGTGATTCCTCTTACAGCAGGGATCTGCTCTAATCACACAGGCAACTGTTATCACATGGCAATCAGCAGCGCTGGCTGGAGGTTAACCCTTTGGAAGGCTACATTCCACAGATTCATATCAGAGAAGGAAGAAAAGGGGTATTTAAAAGCCAAGGCACCACTTTTTCCTTGCGCTGCAAAATTTCAGCTCCCCCGCACCACAGGGCTTTCAGCAGCATCACGTTTACCCAGGCTGGCCAGAAAAGGAACACACAAAATAAAGCTGGGTGACAAGGAGACTGCTAGAATCACGCACATTTTGATCCAGTTGCACTGTCTATCAACGAGAAAGGGCAGCGTTCCCCTGCAATATGAGTCTGAGCTAGTTTGCTGGGGCAGGCTCTAAGTAGGAGCCAATGGGAGTTACCCACCTCAATGGCCTGTTTTGATACTCATCCCTTCCACCTGACCCATGCCTTCCATCCCACATTGTCTCCTCTTCACGGTCTCTCCGCCCAGCTGCCACTGCTCCTTCCTCGTCAGTTGGTTTAAACCAATTAAGCCTTTAGCAGGCCCCTACTGCCAGCAGCAAGTGGTCCCCTCCATTCCCCATGTGATGGCCTGTGCTACCTAGGTGGGCCCGAGTTCTGATCAGACACCTCCTGCATGCTGTCCTTACCATTACATGTTCCTCTGAATCACAGGAGGGAGTCGGACTTGGCTAAGGAAGCTGGAGACAAGTGGCTCTCTATCAGATACCCACGCAATTCAGAATTGCCACCAGCCAAGCAGATTCCTCCTTTTGTAAGGCGCGTGGTGTGAGTACACAGAACAACAAGATCTCTAGGCATGAAAGAAATCGAATAATCCTGGACCTGATCTCGGGACGAGAACTTGTCAACCCTCAGAGTGATAACTGGAAATTCTTAAGCAATTAACAGAATGAATACATCATCGATAGATCGGGCTACACTGCAACCTACTCAAGTGTGTGTTTCTTTACCCCAGAACCATGCCAAGGACGCTGAGGTGATTACCACTGAAGGACTGTTATAGTGGTAACAGATTGTCCAGGGCTCTAGCACTTCTTTTTTTCCCCAACAGTCCATAGATCTCGCTCTGCCTTTCCCCTGTCTGCAGCACACAGTAACCGTCTGTTACCAAGGCCAAGCAGAGCTGCAACTCTCAAGCCCGTGGCCAGAAGCACAGCATCCCCAAGTCGCCAGCCAGAAATCCGTGCTCGCCAATGCAGGAAATATCCCCCAGCTGGGAACTCGACAGCGTCTGTGCAAAGAGGGGTTGTTTAGTTCTAATCCGGATTCGGTGCCGTGCTGCGCTTCACAGACGCCTTGGCTTGGTGTCAAAGAGTCTGGCTGCCCCTTCAGGGCACAGGATCAAACAGAAGTGAAATTTGCCACAGAATATGTGCTACGGAAGCAGTGTTTAAGCACAACAGGAAAAATAAAGCATAACTTTTAAGTGTGTGTGTGTGTGTGTGTGTGTGTGTGTGTGTGTGTGTGTGTGTGTGATGACATACACACAAACCTGCACTTGCCATAGCATGTACCTAGCCCATGCCTTTGCAGCACCGAGCTGCTAGTCAGCAGGGATGCAGTCAAACAATAGCTGTGTAGACATTGCAAGGTGGGCTGGAGTTCAGGCTCTGAAGCCTGCGGAGCTGGGTGGGCTTCAGAGCCCAAGCTCAAGGCTGAGCCACAACTACACCAGTGGTGGGCAACCTGTGGCCCGCATGCGGCCCATTGGGGTAATCTGATTGCGGGCTGCGAGACATTTTGTTTCTGAGGACCTGATTGCGGGCCACAGGGACGTGCTGGCCACCGCTTCCCGCAGCTCCCATTGGCCGGGAATGGCGAGCCGCAGCCACTGGGACCTGCAGGGGGCCGTGCCTGCAGACAGTCAACGTCAGCAAAATGTCTCGCGGCCTGCAACCAGATTACCCTGATGGGCCGTCTGCGGCCCACGGGCTGCAGGTTGCCTACTACTGGTCTACACAGTTATGTTTAATGCGGTAGCATGAGCCCAAGTCTATCGACCTGGGCTGGAAGGCTCGATTCCACGGGCTGCGTAGACGTGCCCATAGTGGCTTAATGACAGAGTCCACCTTTCCATTCATGAGCAAACGTGTTCTGGAGGGCACATCCCGCCAGAGCAGACGTCTTCTTCCCACCGTGCACCAAAGCTCCATCTCCTCATATCGGGCAGCAGCAGCACATCCCTAGGGACATGCTTAACTGCACCCGTAAGCCATACTTATACAGACGTGGCAGCCAACGCGTTACATGTTGTGGCACAATAAAGGTCACACCCCAGCAGTCAGTCCAGAAAGATCTGCAAGTTATTTCTCCCCCATGGGCCAAGCCCTAGAAGTCTCACTGATGAGCCTGTCTGACTTCATCCACCCCTCTCATGAACAACTCTCGCTGAAAAGGGCCCGGCATTTAAGCTGGAGATTCAGGGAATTCTGTTTGACCCAGACAAGCATCGCATCTCCCACCCTCTTACTGCACGGCTCACAGTTAAAGCTGCTGCATGCGCTCTGGAAGCTGTGCAAAGGTACCCGTTCGCAGCTCACACTGCCAGGGCCTACACGTGCTCAATGGCGTCCAATACTCCCACGGAGCAGGATGTTACTATACAGGTGCAGAACACTGGCTGCACTGCTCCGTTTATACCCACCTGCCCTTCCCTCCAGTTGATACCCCCCACTCTAAATACTGTCCGTTAAGAACACTGGCCTCACCTCACAGCAATAAGTGCTATAGAGACAACATCCTCGCTTCACCCTGCACCCTGGTTTAAATGGGTTGTACAATTACACTCTGCTCGCAAATTAACCACATTAAGGTAACGAGTTCTGACACAATCCCTATTTGCAGCTCTTGCCAGCCGACAAGACGCCTGTAATTGTACCTGTAACCTCTCTGCCACCCGGGGCCTTCGTGCAGAAGGAATTTTCATGCCATGTGCTGCATGTTCAGACCTTTTCTTTGAAAGCCCTCGTTTCTTATCGGGTCACGTCCATTCCCGATTTAATAACGCAGGCTCTTCTATTGAGGTGAGGCAATTCATTGTAATTAAACATGAGTAGCTGGGCTGAATGGCAACGAGAGGGGAACGCAGCCATCTGAGTCAAAGAGTGAAGGGGAGCGACGCAGGGTTTCCCAAATGGCTCTAGCTCTGTAATGAAACCGAGCAAAGGGAAACAGACGCTGGATGGTAGGGAAAGCTCCCAGTGACGAGAGCTACTCAGTTGGGGCAGTGGTGGGAGCCCTATCAACTGCGTCATTTGAAACAAGACGGGCTGAAGCACTAGTCGGCCTATTGTGGGGAAAGCCATTCTATACCGCCCCTCCCGCAAGGCAATGGTATAGCTCGGACCCACACAGGTGTTGCCACCTTCTCATTTCTACAATCGGCCTATTCCTAGTGCTGCTGCCGTACGTCCAGCCT